TGATGGGGTATATATATAAACTATACCCAATGCTACAAAAAATTCTTTATATTATATATATATATATTAATATTATAGGAATCGTATGTCTAATATAGCGTCTGGACATTTGCACAACAACGTGTTTAGGGGAGTTGGCTGGAGCGCATATTTATTTGACAAAAGTGCCAGAGTTCGTTACTCCTGAGGTCGATCTTTTGGCCTTTTTTGATATTATTTTTGCATTCAAACTTTACATAATTATAAAATTATAAAAAAAAATTATAAAAAACAGAAAGCCCTTTAAAAACAGGAAACATCGAAGCTTAACCACGCCACAAGAGAAGTATATATGTCCCCCAAACTATCGTTCTTAAAAATAAAATAAAAAAGGTTTTCTCCTTCAAGAAAAGTACTTTCTTCATTTAAAACAAAATGATAAAAACTTCATGGCTTCTTCTTTCTCTTAAACTCTGATTTTCTGGTAAGTAATCATCATTATTCATCAATTTCTCTTTGGTTCTTTTTTCAATCATTTGACAATTTATGTTATTCTTTCAATTTCAGGAATTTGAACACCAAAAAGAGAAAACTCTAATTTCTAAATTCATAAAGACCACTCAAAATTAAATAGTCAGATTCAAATCTCAATTCAAATTCAGGTAATGTTAAACACTTAACTCTGAAATCATTGTCAGTTACACGTTGTGAAAGTTGTGTTGAAAGTGTAAAAGCAATAAGATTCCAAGCTCCAAGCTCCATATTTAAGAGAAGCTTTACTTCAGCTAGCAAAAAGTGACGGTGACTCCAAAATAACGGACTAGCTTTGATTTCAATTGAAAGTGAACTTCTTGAAAAACTTGATTATGAATATTTGATAGATGATTTCTCTTCTAAAAATTCAAGAAGATCAATTTTCAGACATTAGTATTGTACTGGCTATGTTGTTTTTTTTTCCTTTCGGAGGAAAAGGTCTCGTAATAGTTTTAATTCTTCAAATAAGACAGCAAATACAATGCGAATGATTTTTGGATATATAGTCAGGTATGTTTTTGTTGTTGCTTTTGTGTTTAATGCAATATAATCTAATTTGTTAATGACATTTGTGTACAACTACTCTTTAATTTGTGATTGCCAATATTTTTTCCTATCAAACACAGATTGCTTATTGGAGGCAACAAGAGACCTTATAGGGGCACAAGGAGCTTATTTTTGTACCAAAAATTTAACTTTATCAAATGGAAACATTTAAATTTTTATGACTTTGATTTCTGATTGTCATTACATATTTATTGATGGTGAATTTTAGTTATGAAAAAATTGTTTATGACATTAAGTTATGGCAAATTTTTATAGTATTTTCGTATTAGATTATGTAAGGCCCCAATTTAAGTTTCACAAAGGACCCTCAAAATCTCATGGACGACCCTCTATATATATATATATATATATATATGTATATCTTATATCTATATATATAAAGCAAAAGGTAGAGAATGGTAAAACATTCAAAATACTAGAAAATGCCCTTAGTTAATGCAAACATTAAGAATTGAAATGATTAATTAAATAAGAATAATATGGTAAATTTACACTTTTTTATATTAAAAAATTAAATTAAAAGAAAAATTAGATAATTGATCCTATTTTTATGGAACACAACTACCCATTATCCTATTCTAAAATAAATTTAAAAATTAAAAAAAAAAACTCTCGGAAGCAGGTACGGAGATGCTATTATATATATAAAGCAAAAGGTAGATGATAAAACATTCAAAATACCATAAAATGCCCATAATTAATGCAAATATTAATAATTGAAATTATTAATTAAATGAGGATAATATGATAAATTCACATTTTTTCATATTAAAACAAAATCAGATAATGGGATTTTATGGAACACAACTACCCATTATCTATTTTTATTTTTTGCATAATTGATTAGGTTCATTGCATTTCTTACTATAATAAAATATCTTCGATACATTGTCTTTTTTCTTTTAAAAAATTTTTTGTTAAACAATAATTTGCTCTGTGCGATAAAACCCAAGAACCAAGCCAAACGCAACCGAAAAAAAAAAAAAAAAAAAAAAAAAAAAAAAAAAAAAATTTTCAGACCATTTTTTTACACTTACAAACGAAAAAGTTTAAACAAAAAATACGCACAAGGAGAGCAAGAAGATAATGGTCATTAGAAGTGAAACGTACCATGGAAAAAGAAAACATAAAAACTCAGGTGAATGGAGGAAATACATTGCTGCCTTCTGGAGAACAACTTAATCAAACCAGCCACAACCACTGTTTTCACCCAAAGAGGCAGTAAAACGCAACTCAAAAAAGAATATCAAACAATGGTGACTGAAAGGATCCTCTTTCAATTGAATTTGAAGGATATAAATGGTGCACCAAAATAAATAAAAAAAGCCCCAGGGATTGGCCAAATTTTCTGAAAAGCACAAATTACATATTGAAGCTTTCTCTAGACATAGCACAAATTATGCACTTCCTTTCTCCTTATATTCATTCAATCAAACAACAGAGTGACCATGAATATGTATCCAAGATATATTGCTAAGCTCTTCATATTTTTCAAAACAGAAAATCGAGCCAAACCAAACCAAAACCACATAGATCTAGTTTGATTATGTTCTTCTACACTTTCTATTAAAATCAAACGGGAACGTGTGTAAGTTTCGATTTCAGTTTCAGTTCCAATTCAAGGTGAAAACCGAATCGACCTAATCGTGCCCACCCCTATCTTTAGCATATCATTCAATGCTACAATACACCTCACTTACGATTCCTAACAACACGTAGTAAGACACATTTTGGGCAAGATAGCATAATATTAAGATAGGGTTGTGACACATTATTCAAATGCAATAATATTTTTTATTACTTCAAATTCAATATGAAGGGGAAAACTTGTTCTATGCATTTCTCAAATACACAAATAGGATACTGAGCTATCTAACATGCATTTCTACTCAATACAAAGAAGCATAAGCAAAATAAAAACTTTAGAAACTCATACAAATCCTACGGAACCCAAAATATTTCTAGGCTTAAGAAATGTGCACCATAGACTCTCTAGAACTTATTTAAATAGAGGGATTAGAGATCTAGTTACCCTTGGAGAAAATCTTGAACCATAAGAAGGTGTTCAAGTAGAGTGCATGATTTCTCCTTTCTTGATAATCCACTATGGCTCTCCAATAGGTACAATAGTGTGCACCTCACCAAAGCTCTTGGCCAAGGATGGATGGAGATGAGAGAATGAAAATTTGGGAGAGGACAAAAATGCTAGCTCTTGCTCTCCAAAGTGGCCGACCAAGGGGGACTTGAGAGAGAGGTTTGTTGTTTCCTCTCTTCAATTTTTCAACTTCAAAACCTTAAATGAAATGGTGTTATGGCATCATATGTATAGACCCATGTTGTAACACAGGTGGACCTAAATACACATGTGTACGGCACCCTCACTTTGGTAGCCTAATTTTGGGCCTTTTTGGTCCAACACATTTGTATCTTAATGTGTCACATATGTCTAAAGTGAGAGGACCCGACCCAAATTCCACTTTGGAATCTGAGCCGAACCCTATGCGTGTCCGACACCTAAAAGCTTAACTTTTAAAATATTCCGAGGGTATTCTAGTCATTTCCTTGAATAAAATAATAATTAAGAATTAATTAAGGATCAGGTCGTTACAAACTACCCCCCTTACAAAAATTTGGTCCTCGAAATTTACATACTCGTCACCCTAAAAGGTGAGGGTATTGGGCCCGCATCTGCTACTCGGGTTCCCAGATATGCTCATCCAGAACTTCACTCACCAATCACATCTCAATATCCTCGAAGCAAAACCCACATCATGATTCTACCAGTATTATGTCAAAGTAAGCCTTGCCAACATCATCCCCTATATAAACATCATCCAAAACGCTTACTTAAATGCCGGGACTTTAGTACCTCTCCCGACTCTAATCCCTTAATCAATTTCTGAGGAAACCAAATTTGGAACCTGTTGCGTTCAGAAACAAAGGGGCCAAGCAACTAATCGACACGAGGAAAATCTTAGATTATGCAATCGAAGCGTAATCTAATCTAGAAAGGGTTGGCTCATGCTGTGAACTTCTACCTCATGCAATACTATAAATATCCTTTTACTTCTAATTATTTCACATTGCTCAAAACTTTTGAATACCTTAGCATCAAGGTCTCTCTCTCTAGAGTCAAGAGAAGTCACAATCATGTTAACAACCAAATCAAAAGCTTTGACTAAGCAAACAGAAAAAGAGAAGTCTACCCTCATCCTTTGATGGCTAATCAAATGCTTAATCTTCTTCTGAAAGCTAAACGCTTCCATTTGTGATTTGATTACCTTAATCACCTCAAACTACAAGTTCCCTATTCCAGGGGCCCACAATCAATGTGACCTCCTACTAGCTCAACCTGAACCACACGCATTCACATATGTCTATAAGCCAAATCATACTCTTAGTCAAACATTGATTCCTTGAAAGCATTCAAATCAACTTTAATCTACCACCTAGGTATACCCATTTTATTTCCACCATTCTTGATTTTCCCGTCAATTCCCTCGCATCACCATTGGTAACACGCCCTCGCAGGTCTCGATGACACAAGGTCAACACGAGCCGCCTTTCTCGCTGGATTCAGAGAATCCGCATCCCTTGCTCCCACAATCCGGATATTCTTAAGACCCGTGGGACAACTGTCAAACATGCTGACCTAACCTAAGCCAACCGATTTATTATGCTGGGGTACCTAGTGTGGTTTTAAGAAAATATAATTGTCTTGAAAAAGATTAAAATTTATAATCTACCTCTTCATTGCCCTGACATCCTGCTGCCATTAATCCAACAAATTATCTCAGTCCTCGTTCTCAACTCAGCAGCATATAAGAAGGTTCGTGCATTCCTATTTATACATAATTTAGCAAACAATAATCCTGCTGAAAAACATTGAATGTAAAGTTCATCCTACCACCTATGAATACTTATTTGATTCCATCAAACCCTAAATTACTATCTATTCCTCGTGCCACTGTGGTGACACGTCCTGCCCTGTAATCCTCGCTGAACTCAGGAGACATCCAATCAACCTGATTCGCAATTCTCGCTCCCACGGTCCAGATATCTCTATGACTCATGGGACAAAGTATGCTAGAAATACTTGAGCTATTTAATACCATAACAAAAAATAAAAAGATAAGGGCATACAACTTAAATAAAATAAACAAGCTCCGAATACCCTTGTATCGAACTCGTGTAAGGTTCATGAATAGTTAATTATGTAAATGTATATATATATATATATCCGTATTCTCTTGTGACTTAAATATATCGATTAAGATAACGATAATAACTGTATCAATTTCCCAATTGTACTTTAAAAGCGGTTTAAAGCTTAAATTCTTTCCACCTAGGCATACCCCTAATCCTGATATGTCAATTCCTTTAATACCATCAATTCCATCCTCGCAGGTCTCGGAAACATAAAGTTAACCGAGTCGCATTTCTCGCAGGTCTCAAAGGTAACACTTCAATCTGAGCCGCAATCCTCGCAGGCCTCGGAGATACCACTTCAATTCGAGCTGCATTCCTCACAGGTCTCAGAGATAACACTTCAATCTGAGTTGCAATCCTCGCAGGTCTCGGAGATACCACTTTAATCCGAGCTGCATTCCTAGCAGCACATGGTTCAGGCGTCCCCGAAACTCGTGGGGCATTGTCAAAATAACCAAACTGTTTCAAAGTAAATAGGGGGTACCTTCACGGTGGGTTTGACAACCATAACTCGTCTTTATATCCACTTAAAATGAATTGGTTCTTAACTGAACTTAGAATATATACTTAAATACATGCCACAATCTGATAACAACCAAAGGCTATGACTCATCCTTTCCAACTACTGGATATACATAAATGAACTACTTAGCTTGTATGTTAGTCATATCGATCTCTGATTAACATACCATTCAAATATTATATTAATAATCTTACGACATGATTAACCATATGAATATATAAACAGGTGATAAATAAACAGATCATTAAATACTCATCTTGAATTCACATAAAGTCTAGAAATTAAGACCATAAATAAACCACTCGAACACTCACGTGCACGTGAACTTTCTAAAAACTTAAACATATTCTATGGAGCTCATCCTCAAAATTTACTCCAAAGTCCTGGCCCTAGGCTCCTAGAAGTGCGTGCATTGAATTGAAGGTCATTCTCAAGCCTATGTAAGCTTTTTCACTAATTAGAACAGTCTAGAAATGCCTCGAAATTCAAAAAGCGATAAGTCCCAAAAGTCAGCCCAGGACCCCGTGGGGTCCACAACCTTTCTCCAATTATAGTTCCTCTCGAACCGTTTATTTTCAATCTATATGTTATGTTTTTCATATGAAAACCTCAACAAATTTTTTAACCCTTCTGGATGCCTTAAACTCAGTCATACTGGGAAAATGAAATAACCCAATATTACATCAAGCACTCCCCTAGAGTAAGGATGCACACGAGGTGCCAAGTCTACATGAATTTAACCTAATGTTCTGATACCAATTGAGAGGACCCGACCCAAATTCCACTTTGGAATCTGAGCCGAACCCTATGCGTGTCCGACACCTAAAAGCTTAACTTTTAACCTAATAAAATATTCCGATGGTATTCTAGTCCTTTTCTTGAATAAAATAATGATTAAGAATTAATTAGGGATCGGGTTGTTACATAAAGTCCTATGATTCAATTCTTAATTCTTTAAGTCATGTGGGACCCAACTAAGTTCAATAACTTTAATTGTTCAATTAAACTATCCTAATTAGTTAATTTACTTAATGACTTAATTAATTAAGTTATTAACTTGTCTTACAAGTATAGGTCCCAGTCAATCCTTGTTGACCATGTCAAGTGACGGGTCAATAGTTGACCTTTGACTTTGACCTTGACCTTGACTTTGACTTTGGCCAATGCGTAAAATCTCTCTCTCTTTTATTTCTCAATCGACTCATCTTCAGTGTGCGATCTTATAGGTTCCAATTAGCGAGGCAGTGGGTAAGTCAGATTCCTTCTAAATTGTGCATGAATTGAATCCCACCATACAATTCTCTCTATTGGAAAATGCTAATTGTAATTATGCCTTACATGATTGACACCTAGCAGTATATCATGGCTACCCAAGCTAAAAAGAATTCATATGAGAACCTAGTCATTTTTAATTGCAATGCAATCTGGTCCTTCTCTATAACAATATTCTAGATCACATTATTAGGATACGGTTAACTTGCGTCAAATCCCTAATGCGACATTTCTAGGTTATATGATTCACTTGGAAGAGATTGCAAACTTTCCTATTACAACCTATCTAATACTTTGGCCAAAGATTCAATAAATCATACAATAATTCTATCGCGTTAAGTGAATGAGCACCTACACACTTGTCTTAGTGTCTCTACACAAATGACTTGAGACTAGTCATCCTCCCAATTGAGCAAACACAGTACGTACTAGTATTTGTAGGTCACCATCTGTCCAATTGGTGATCCTATGACCAGGAACATTTTAGGACGTGATATATCATAATGGGAAGGTCTCGTCAATCTAACATCTTTAGATTATTATTATTTTCCATATGTATCGTAATCTATAGACTTGTCACTTTATTGCCTTCATCAAAGTTTCCTAAAGTGACTTTTATGACCTATTAATTATGTAGTGTTATGTCCTGAGAAATTTTTATTTTTGTATTGGCTTCCAAGGAATATTTCTAACACAATAACTAATCGAAATGGTGGGATCTTCAAAATCCCTTTGGTCTGACTAAATCGTATGTCAAATATACTTTTAGCTGGTCATGCCTCAATTTTGACTCCATCTTGCATAGATCTGTTAATGTTGGGTATTGGAATTCCTTGCAACATGTGAGTCCAATGGAAGATCTACTTTGTACTTTTTTCTTCAAGAAGTCAACAAAATGTTCTATTAATCCCGACTAGAAGTGTGCCAGTGAGGACGTTGAGCTTAAAAAAGGGTGGATTGTAAGACTCGTGAGCTTGGTAAGAAGCAAGAACGGTGAGCAGTACGACATCACTCAGGGAGGAAAAGTGGAAGTACCTTATAAGGGAAGTTGACAATGCACGTAGTAACACGCATTTTAGCTAAGATAGCATAAGCTTGAGCCTATAAATAAAATCGTGAGGGCGCAGGCTAAAAGCGAACGATATCTTGCTGCCGGGTGTGGCATGTGACACATTCTTCAAATGCCACAATATTTCTGATTACTTCAAATTCAATCACCAATGAAAGTGGTGGGATATTCATAACCCCTTTGGTCCAACTAAATCATATATCAAATCTACTTTAGTTGGTCCTACCGCAATTTTGTCTCCATCTTCCACAAATCTGTCAAACTGGGTATGACTTCATGTTAGGAATTCCTTGCAGCATGTTAGTTCAAGGGAAGATCTACTTTGTACTTTTTTCTTAAAGAGGTCAGCAAAATGTTCTATCGATCCCAAGCGGTTTTCCATTGCCTCAGCATATAGTATAGAACTGAAGAAATATAAAGCCATCTTCAGTATTGAGATCCCCTCAACATAAGGAGGCAGTGCAAATTATTTTCGTTGAAAATGTCTTCCATAATAAAATAACAACACATGAATTTCAAGCATACAAAGATTTGGCCATATCTTTGTTATCAAATGAGTTTTTTTTTCCAAATATTAGGTCATCTACAAGCTCCAATTCATCCAAAATATTCTTCAATAATAGTGTATTAGTTATGTTCAAAATAATAGCAAAGGTCTTTACATGTAATTTATGTACTTATATAATTAATTCAAAAAAATTTCTTAGTTCCAAGTCCTCATGATAAACATTTACCGTAAAAAATAATCAAAATCAAATTGGACAAATAAATGTAATCATACTCTAATTCACAAAATACACTAGTAACAGTTGGTCTACGCCTCATTGTACCGACCATTACTAGTACTTATGCAAGTTGCGATGAGGGAGAGTACTAGGAGTGGGTACAGTCCGGTTCTCGCCTCAAATCGAAACCGGAACTGGTACTATTTAACCGCTCCAGTTCGGTCCAATTTAAGCAATTTTTTAAAAAAAACTAGCCCATTCGGTTTTGACCGGTTCCAGTTTTGAACCAAATTATTAATTTATTAATTTATAAATTTTTTTTCAAAATATAATATTTTTTTTTAAAATAAAAATTATAATAAATAAGTAATTTTTTTGTCTTAAAATTTAACAAATGACCCAATTCATACAATGAGAAATTTTTTGAAGTTGAATTTGGAAAAATATTAATTATAAAATTTAAAATATAGCATTGGATTTTAAAATTTTGTAATAAAATAAAATAATACAACCAGTCCAGTTTGGTGTGGTGTAAAACCAAAACTAGAGCCTATTGGAACCAGTTGGGTCCAATTTCAGTCCGATTTGTTGACTTTTTTTGGTCAATTGGTTTTTTTCCCGGTTTTTTTTCACCGGTCTAGTTCGGTGTTCTAGTTTTTTGGTCCCGATGCCCATCCCTAGAGAGTACCAACTTAATGAGAACTATCTTTATTATTGGATTATGAAGATAGAAGCATCAATCAATAGCCCTGGCATTGGTTTCTAGACACCGAGAATATTCATTGCTAAAGCGAGCAACATGTTCCCTCAAAGGTTCATCATTTCGTTGTCGAATGGTATATAAGTCATCCACTGAATATAAGCGATCGGTCTAAATAAGGATTAGTGTGAGAAGAAAAGCGGCTACAATGAAAAAGATGATTGCCCGAGATGTATCGAAAAAATTTGTCTGAAAACATCATTACAACTTTTTCCTGCAATATGTCTCTAGTTCCTCACATATATAAGCACAACAGAAGTTACCATTGTTTACAATAAGCCCAGTAGCACCATTTGATAACTGATGAAGTATACTTCTTTAATCCTTCGCTTAACATTTTATCTTCAAGTATAACTTTACTCTTAACGAGCAATTACCCATGAAGCATACTAACTCATATAACAATCTACTGAGCAGTGGTATTGTGTAAGAACCATGAATTCAAAAATTGGTAAACCGAATATTATTAATCTTTAGAGACAGAACACAACTCACTCAAAATCAAACATATCTATAAAGCAACGCAATATTTCCTTAATCAAATTCTTTTAAAATTTCAAAGCTTGTGGCTTGCTCCTGAGAGTTAACTGCGATGCACCTTTTAATTATCATTGTCATCCGCAAAGCTTTGTATGGTGCATACTCATTTTTTATTTCCCCATCTATCAACTTCTCCAACTTTGATTTCTGAAAATCATTCACATCTCATGTACATGTTTTGCCTAAGATAGCATAAGCTTGAGCCTATGATCAAAATTGTGAGGGCCCAACCGCAAAGCGGAAAATATCTTACAACATGGAGTGGGATGTGATACATTGTTCAAATGCCACAATATTTTTGATGACTTCAAATTACCCAATCGAAATGGTGGGATCTTTAGAACCCCTTTGTTTTGACTGAATCATATGTAGAATGTACTCTTAGCTGGTCATGCCTCAATTTTGACTCCAGCTTTGCACAAATCTATCAAGATAAGTATAAATTCATGTTTAGAATTCCTTCCACCATATAAGTCCAATGTAAGATCTACTTCGTAATCTATTGTTGAAGAGGTCAACAAAATGTTCTATTGATCCCAAGTGATTTTCCATTCCCTCAACATACAGTATAGAACTGAGAAATACAAAGCCATCTTTAGTATTGAGATCCCCTAAGCATAAGGAGGTAGTGCAAATTATTTTCGTCAAAAAGGTCTTCCATTTTTTCCCAAAAATTGGTCCAAACTGAACTGTGCCCACCCCTACATAATATAGTAAAAAATTAAAAAATTCACATCCTACATCAATATCAAACAGAGCTTATTCTAGTGAAACTCATTTATTTCTTTGCCTACTAATAAGTCCAAATCCATATCCAAAAAGAGGCATTACTTATTATTATTTTTTAAAACAAAGGCTAAAGTTTTTATCTTATTAAGGAAACCTCTTGACTCTTTTTGGGTCAAGTGGATTGCTTTCATTGAAACCCTAAACAAAAGAAGCCAAATACAAAAGAAAGACTCAGAGAGTACAATACGAAATCTTGACCGTTCATCTGCTCCTCTTCTCCTAACATGGACACCATTTAAACCGTTGATTTCTCCACCAATCACTACTCTAGTTCCCAGTTTCATGCAAGCACCAGTAGGGGTGCGCATTAGAACCGTAAAACTGCAAAACCAAACCAAACCAAACCAAACTGAAAAAATCATTAAAAAACGTGTTGACTGAAAAAGTCAAAAACCGAGACAAATCCGAACCGGACCAGTTTTGGTTCCGATTTTCCATTACAAGGAACCTGTCCAATACAATTAATTAATATATATTTTTATATTATATATTTTAACATGTGGCTGTTTTGTATTGGCTGTCTAAAATATTACCGTACGCACACACAAAGAGGATCATCACAACTAAAACACGACTTAGGTTTCTTTCTTCCTTCTTCGATTTCATTCCCTCTCTCTCTGTCTAATATGAGCTGCCGAACCTCTCTTTTCCTCTGCGTGAAACCTCTACTTCAGCCATCCTTGTTCTTCTTCAGCCGTCGCGCCACCGAAGCTCCCTCTTAGTTGTTGCGTCGTCGTCATGCAAGCAGGTACGATTCTGGCTTTCTCTTTTCTTTTTTCTTTTTCCCGCTTCGATTCTCTGTCTGACCATCTCTTTGTCCTCCAGCAGCAGTTTGTGCATATCATCATCCGTATTTCTAAAGCAGGTTGCAGCTTCCAGCAGCAGTTCTGCCACTCTCTGAGGTATTCTTCATTTCTCCCTCTGTCTCTCTCTCTCTCTCTCTCTCTCTCTCTCTCTCTCTCTCTCTGATTTTGATGTTCTGCATAAATTTTGCAGATTTTTAAATATCTTTTTGTGGATAAATTTCCCCCGTTTATAATTGTTAGCAGTTCTACCAATTGAATATATTAGATAACTGTTTTTTTTTTTTTTTTTTTTTTTTTTTTTTTCCTTAAAACTTTAAAAAAAAAAAAAAAAAAAAAAAAAATTTAAGTCGTAATTAGTTATTAATCAAACTGCCTTTTTAAACAATGCTGCCACTTGTGTTTCCAAGAACAAAAACAAATCATGAAAAGGAACTATATAGAGGGATGCTATATTTAATCTATAGAGAATAACGAATTTGGGTTCTGCCACTTGAGGATGTTGTATTATGTTTTATTAAACTCATAGACTGTTTTGTTCTTAAACTCATAGAATTTGGGTTATATAGAGGAACTATACAACTTTTAACTCATAGACTGTTTTGTTCTTACATGTGTAAGGACCTAATTTTGAGCTTTATTAAACTGTTTTGAGCTTTATTAAGCTGTATTATGTTCTATTAAACTGTTTTGAGCTTTATTAAGCTTTATTAAACTGTTCTGTTCTTATTAAGTTGTATTATGTTTAATACATGTGTAAAGACCTAATTTTAATACATGTCTCACTCTCAAATTATGAGCTTTATTATGTTTAAGGACCTAATTGGGAAATGAAAGTAAATATAAATATGATGTACATTTTTTTTTTTTTTTTTTTTTTTTTTTTTTAAATGTTTTCTTTTGTGTTAGTTGATTGTATAATGTTTAAGTTTTTTTTTATAGTTAATATCATGTTTAAATTAGCATGTTTTTTTTTAGTTTAATTGAGGTATTGTTTTTAGTTAATATCATGTTTTAAATTAGCATTAATGTTGAAGATTTTGTTTTGTTTTGTTTAGTTGGATTGATAATGTTTAAGTTTCTGTTTTTTTTTTAAACTAAGGTGTTGTTTTTGGTTAATATCATTTTTATGTTGCTGTTTTTTGTTTCTTAAAGAAATCATGAATGAGTCGAACCCATTTGGAGAGATGCATGTCACTACTAATAGTGAAGTTGGTTCGTCATCCGCATCCGTATCCGCATTCGCATCTACATCAACACCTTTACCTAATTTACTCATCGCTCAAACACCAACTCAAAATACACCTCATGCCCAAACATCACCTCAACCTAGTGGTCTTCCACCATTACCTCATTCCGACCCAAGAAGAGAAAAATCGGAAGTATGGGATCACTTTGAGAGATATGAAGAAGTGGTTGAGAGTGTGAAGGAGGATGGGAGCAAATACGCAACCACTAAGAAGAGAGCTAGGTGCAAATATTGCACTATGAGCTATGCAACAGACTACTAGAAATGAGACCTCAAATTTGAGGAAACATATTGAAAACCTATGTAAGAAATATCCAGGGAGAGTTCCTAAAGATAATCAGCAAAAGCTCTTGTCTTACATCAACAATGCATGGTAAAGAAGAGTGGTTAAAGGCATGTGTAGATATGGTAGTAATGGATGAGATGCCATTTAGTGTGGTTGAAGGAAAAGGGTTTAGGCGGTTTTGTAATTCTTTGAACCCCCATTTCCAAGTGCCATCTCGTAGGACACTTGTGAGGCATTTCATGGTAATGTATGATACCATGAAACAAAAATTGAAAGAAGAATTAGCACCACACAGAGTATGCCTCACAACGGACACTTGGACAAGTGTTCAAAACATCAATTACATGGTCATAACGGTACACTTCATAGATTGTGATTGGAACTTATACAAAAGAATCTTGAACTTTTGTGTCATTTTCAATCACAAGGGGAACTCAATTGGTAAACTCCTTGAGTCATGTTTGCTTGATTGGAATATGAAGAAGATATTAACCATCAAGGCCGATAATCCTTCTTCAAACACAAAGGCTATAGATTACTTGAAGTCGAAAATGGTCCATTGGGGAAATGGTAGTCTTCTATTAGAGGGAAAGTATATGCACATTAGGTGTTGTGCTCATATTGTGAATTTGATAGTTCGTGATGGGTTGAAGAAGTTGGAAAAAAGCATATTGTGTATAAGAAATGCGGTGAAGTATGTAAGATCTTCTCCCAAAAGGTTAGAGGACTTTAAGAGTTGTGTTAAAAAAGAGCAAATTGAATGCAAAGGGGTTGTGGTGTTGGATGTGCCAACAAGGTGGAATTCCACATATATGATATTAGAAGTCGCCTTAAAGTTTGAAAAGCCTTTTGGAGAATGGGAGAAGATGATGAAGGCCCATATATTTCTTGGTTTGGTGAAGATGAACCGGATCTCGAAGATGGGGTGGTTATATCTCATTACCCTATAAAGAGGGAAGGGCCACCAACTAATGAGGATTAGAACAATGCTTGTACCTTCGCAAATTTTTTAAAGGTATTTTATGATGCTACATTGAAGATGAGTGTCACTTTGCATCTCGCTTCCCACACCACATTTCATGACTTGATTGCAATGGAAGAAGAAATTGAGGATTTGTTGATGGAAGAGGAGGAAATATTAAGTGAAACTTAAACCTCCCAGGTTTTGAAGGACATGGCACTTAACATGAAGATGAAGTTTAAAAAGTATTGGGGTGACCTTGATAAATTGAACCAAATTTTGATGGTTGCTCTTGTTCTTGACCCTCGATACAAATTGGGGAACTTGGAGTTTATCTTGAAAATCTGAAAGATGCGGTTAAGAAGAAGAATGAGTTCAAAGATATTTTAAAGAAGCTTTATGAAGAGTATGTCATGCCACCACAACCACCTACTTAAAGTAGTAGTTATTGTTCTAGTAATACTACTACAATGAATACAAGTAGTAGCCTAAGCCGAGGGGAAAGAAATGAAGGCAAATGACTAAGAATTGGAGAAAAGAGACTCGAGCAAATGATGTTGTGGTATTAGAGCATGAGATTGATAGGTACATCACCAACCGTATTGAAAATGTGGTTGACGAATTTGATGTTTTGAAGTGGTGGAAATTGAATGGGGTTAAGTATCCAGGGTTGGCACTTATTGCAAAGGATGTGTTTGCCATCCAGGTATTAACGGTGGCTTCAGAATTATGCTTTAGCACGGGTGGTCGGGTAGTTAATTCATTTTGTGCTTCTTTGACTCCTAAGATTGTGGATGCCTTAATTTGTTCTCAAAATTGGTTGAGGTCGGATGACATATCCTCTTTACAATATGAGCCAACAATTCAAGAGATGGAGTTCTATGAATCAATTGAATTAGGTATGTCTTTGTAATTTTATGTGCTTTATTAATGTATTATATAATATGTATGTTTGACTAATGTTTTAATGGGTTTGTGTTTTTTTATGTAGATATTATGAGTTCATCTACACCTAGCACCATAGCTCCAGCTACTTTTCAATGTTATGAGGAATTTAATGAAGTTGGATTGAATTTGGATTGTAATGTATATTTGGATTGAATTTGGGTTGTATTGTATTTGGCAAGTAATTTATTTTGGAACTTATTTTGTTGAAGTTTAATTGAATTTGGGTTGTAATTTATATGCTGAAGTTGGATTGAATTTGGATTGTATTTTTGTTGAAGTTGGATTCATTTTGATGATGGTATGTTAGTATATAAATACATTTTGGGCATGTCTGTTAAATTATTAATTTTTTTTTTTTTTTTTTAAAGCCGCCCTGCCCAAACCAAAACCACAGGAACTAAACCAGAACCAGACAGGTCTGGGTTGGTTCGGATTTCTGTATGGATTTTAAGCAAAATCGGTCCAAACCGAACCAGTATGCGCTTTCGAATCAAGTTCTATTTTTTCCCAAAAACTAGTCCAAACCGAACCGTGCCCATCCATACCCAAAGCTGAAAATATTTTACTACATATAATAGGATGTGACACATTGTTCAAATGCCACAATATTTTTTATTACTTCAAATTACCCAATCGAAATTGTGGGATCTTCGAAACCTCTTTGTTTCGATTGAATCCTATGTAAAATGTACTCGCAGCTGGTCATGCCTTAATTTTGACTCCAACTTTTGCACAAATCTATCAAGATGAGTATAAATTCATGTTTGGAATTCCTTCTACCATATGAATCCAATGTAAGATCTGCTTTGTAGTCTATTCTTGAAAAGGTTAGGAAAATGTTCTATTGATCCCAAGTAATTTTCAATTCCTTCAACTTACAGTATAGAACTGAGAAATACAAAGCCATCTTCAGTATTGAGATCCCTTAAGCATAAGGAGGCAGTGCAAATTATTTTCGTCAAAAAGGTCTTCCATAATAAAATAATAGCGCATGATTGAAGCATACAAAGATTTGCCCGCCATATATCTCTCTATAAATATCAATGAGTTTTTTTTTTTTTTTTTTTTTTTTTTTTTTTTTTTTTTTTTTTTTTCCCAAATAAAAAATCTATCTATTAGGTCATCTACAATCTCTAATTCATCAAAATATTCTTCAATAATAGTGTATTAGTTATGTTCAAAATAATAGTAAAGGTATTTACATGTAATTTATGTACTGAAATAATTAATTCAAAATATTTTCCTAGTTCCAAGTCCTCATGATAAACATTTATCGTAAAAAATAATCAAAATCAAATTGGAAAAATAAATGTAATCATACTCGGATTCACAAAATACACTAGTAACAGCTGGTCAACGCCTCATTGTACCGACCATTACTAGTACTTACGCAGGTTGCGATGTGGGAGAGTACCAACTTCATGAGAACTATCACCATTATTGGATTATGAAGATGGAAGCATCAATCAATGGCCCTGGCATTGGTTTCTAGACACCGAGAATATTCATTGCTAAAGTGAGCAACATGTTCCCTTAAAGGTTCATCGTCTCGTTGCTGATTGGCATATAAGTCATCCGCTGAATATAAGCGATCGGTCTAAATAGGGGTTAGTGTGAGAAGAAGAGCGGCTACAATGACAAAGATGATTGACCAAGGTGTATCGAAAAATTTTGTCTGAAAACATCATTACAACTTTTTACTGCAATATGTCTCCAGTTCCTCACATATATAAGCACAAAACAAGTTATCATTGTCAAATGTACTTTTAGCTGGTCATGCCTCAATTTTGACTCCAGCTTTGCATAAATCTATCAAGATGGGTATGACTTCATATTTGGAATTCCTTCCACCATGTGAGCCCAATGTAAGATTTACTTCGTAGTCTATTCTTGAAGAGGTCAGCAAAATGTTCTATTGATTCCAAGTAGTTTTTCATTCCCTCAACATACAGTATAGAACTGAAGAAATAAAAAGCCAGCTTCAGTATTGAGATCCCCTTAGCATAAGGAGGCAGTGCAATTTTTTTTAATTCAAAAAGATCTTCCATAATTATTAATAAAAAAAAATTAAAAAGGGCACCTTATTTTCAAGCATACAGAGATTTGGTCATATCTCTATTAGCAAATGCATTTTTTCAAATATTAGGTCATATACAAGCTCCAATTCATCCAAAATATTCTTCAGTAATAGTGTATTAGTTATATTCAAAATAATAGCAAAGGTCTTTGCATGTAATTTATGTACTCTTGATAGTCCAGGGCAGTCTTCCAAGCATGGTAGTACAAGATTTTAACAATTCAAAGTATATAAAAAGAGTTGGCAACAACTCCAACGATGTTGAAATTAGTCTAAGTGCAAAACTACCAAAACATTATCAGAGATAATTTGAATTATCAAGGAGTATCAATTGATGAAAGAAACAGAGAACAATCAATTGCAACATTCGTCGAAATTCAGTAAAATGCTAATTATAATTGCAATATGACATATTAAACTAATCATAGCTATATTGCGATCGCATAAACCCTAAACATTATCGATTATCAAGGAGTATCAAATGATTAAAATAAAGGCACAAGAAAAAACATAATATTAATGTTGATTAACAAGACTTTCCATTTTAGATTACAATATCCTCAAGCCTTGTTTGGTGGACTAGACTGGACTAGATTTTTCCAATTAAAATGGATTATAGTCCTAACAGTTGTTTGGTGAATCTAAATACACATCGGACTGGTTTGTTTTTTTTTTTTTTTTTTTTTTTTTTTTTTTTTCTCCTAAGAATCCATCATATGAGGGTTTTGTAAACCCAAGTGGAACCACAGGTTTCGAAGCCTCCACCTCCTCCTTCACGTCTCATCTCTTCATCTCTCTACGCCTTTACTCTTTGTCACTTCTACCTCTGCCTCATCCTTCATGTCTCATCTCTTCGTCTCTCTACGTCGTTTCTCTTTGTCATCTCCGTCTCCTCCTTGTGATTTCAGCTCTAAATGTTTTTCTTCTTTGCATCTCTTCTATTCATCTGATGTTTGGTGGATGACAAAAACGAGTTTTTGTCATTCAATCTTCAGAAAACCAAGATTGTGCATAAGTTTCGCCTTCATAATTCAAACTCAAGTGAGTATTTTTTTTGTTCATTATGCTAATATTCTGCATTATACTTTTAGGTTTTGATTTGGGATTTTCTATGGTCTTTGATTTGGGGTTTTCTAGGGTTTTTTATTTGGGGTTTTTGGGTGTGGGTTAGTTGCATTTGCTTACTTTGTTTATGCAAATTTTCAAATCAAAGTTTGGCAAGTTTGTTATTTTGGGGTGTGAGAAAAAATTATGCTACTGCTATTTTGGCAAGTTTGTTATTTTTGAGAGAGAGATCTGCTTGTTGAGAAGCTACCAGGTAGATAAATTTAAAAAAAAAAATCATAATAAAGTATAGGATACTACTTGGTAGATAAATATGTTTTTTGCAGAGGAAGACTGAAAGATTCTCTGAGGTTCTTCAATAATAACCCAGATATTGATTTTTTTTTTTTCTTCCTCTGATGGACTAATATTTTTATGTCAAGTTGCTGACATAGTCAAAGCTGCAGGGTAAAATATTTTCCAAGGTTTAAATTTGAATTTTATTTTTTAATTAGCTCCTATTTATTGTTTAGGTTACTATTACCTTATGGATGCTGGTTACACAAATTGAGAAGGATTTCTTGCACCCTATAGAGGAACGAGATATTACTTATCAGAATGGAGAGAAGGATGTGCACCCTTGAACCATTGAGAATACTTTAACATGAAGCATGCATCAGCAAGAAACGTGGTGGAACGTTGTTTTGGACTTCTTAAGATGCGTTGGACAATCTTAAGGAGTTCATCGAACAAACACAATGCCGAATAATAATGGGTTGTTGTCTTTTACACAACTTAATTAGGAGAAAGGTGTCTATAGATCCAATGGAGCAAGAAATTTATTAAGATCCCTTCATTGAGAACAATGTAGATCATGGCACTATTGATACCATTGCCACATCCGACCAATGGTCTGGATGGAGGGATAATTTGGCTATTGAGATGTTTAATGAGTAAATGGAAAATAGAGCAACATAACATAAGTATTTATTGATCATTTGAATGTATTTAGAAGAATTTTCATGTTATTATTCATTTTGTGAATTTTTGGATTGTTTTTATGGTATCTTCATGTGATTTCTTATTTTTAATTTTGTGTACATGTTTTTATAATCAAATTTAATTGTTTCTGATATTAAATAATTTAATAAACATCAAAATAAATTATTTTTGAAGTCCAATGCAGTCCAACCCATACTTGTACCAAACAACGAGTTGGGCTTTAGTCCAGTGCAGTCTAGCCCAACTTAATGTACCAAACAACTTATTAAAGTCCAACTCAATCCAACAAAACAAGTCAAACACTCCAAGCCCAATCCTAATCAGTCCACTCCAGCCCATCAAACAGGGCCTCAGCTCAAATCAAACTGCTCTTAGTCTTCGTTTAGCACCTAATTTTCCAAGTATTGTAAATCCTCAAGCTACATACATTTACACTCCATTGCAACAAATTATATATATACATACTACCAAAAGGGCCAGTATATACGTGTATACTTCTTCGTGATCCAAAAGTCATCTTCAATCCATAAACGCCAAAAGTCATCTTCATAACAGTGCCTCCAAAGTCCCCAAAAATTTCAAATCAATGATCACTGGCTACTCATTAGCAACTCCAAACTGGAAATATTGAGGACATTTTAGAATAAAGTTATACTTCGTTTCCAACCGAATATCTCTATATTTGTTTCCCATTCTATTTAATTTCCAAATTGTTTAGGTAATGAAAATTGTTTATACCCAAAATGAATAACCAATGAGGACCAGACACGTGGACAAGGATTGTGCCCAACCATGGTGGCTTTCGGCACCCAGCCTACCAATTCCTCGATTAGGGCAACCTCCCCTTCTCCAGGACATGTGGCAGGCCCATAATAGATGTCTACCACATCAAAAATCTACACAACAAGCACACCTCCCAAGGCTTATAAAAGGAGCACAATTCCCAAAAATGGAGGTAATCAGAACTTACGGCATACTGCCTGTTGATCTGTCAGTTCAGGTTTACTAAATCCGTACTTACTTAAGCATCCAAGAGCCTTCAGCCGGTACCACACCGGTGCCTTAGGTCTTACCGAGCGTTTGTTGTCTTACAGATCACGCGCTCCACCGAGGCCCAGAGCATACCGAAAGCCCAACATCACTAAGTTGAGCGGGAAAGTTACCGAACCATTTTTCCGCTTCAACAAAAATCTCCTTTTTATTTCAAACATGCCTCTTCATAAGGGTCAATTTTTATTTTATATAGATAGCCAAAAAGGTTTTGGTTCAATTGGGACAATCCAGCGGGCCATAGTGGGTCCGAGTGGCACTGACCCGTTATCCTTCCACTGCCAAGAGCGTGAAGTAATCGTTGCTCTGTGAAACCAGCCTTACGCGGTGCCCTCCACTCTAGGAACCAAGAAGCCAGAGCCTTCGCCCTAGCTACATGGCCCAACTCCTGGCTTGGAATGGGCGCGCCAGAATAAAGCCACATCGAACCCGACCCGCTATATTGGGCCAATGTTCCAACACCTCACAGCCCCCACTTGGGATACAAGCTTGCGTTGCTCAGCTCGGCGTTGGTTTGTCAAGGTCAAAGTCTTATAAAGCGTGTAGTCTAGATTCATTTTATCGATGTGGGACTACTAGCACTTGGCCTCTTTACTCTCTTCCCTTTGAGATCTTAGGCTTAGCATAAAGAAGTCAGGGAGTATAGGGAGTGAAACTATTAAAATTGACAAATCAAGAGAATGGGAAATAAATATAGAGATATTCAAAAAGCAAAAGACATATTTCACCCACCAACTGTAGTCTACAATTATTCACTCATCTCATACTATTTCCATTGGCGGAGGCAGAATTTGTGCCATGGAGGAGAGTCAAAACTTTAAGATATATAAATATAAACAAATTCCAACTTTCAATAACATAAAATCTTAAGTAATTAATGACCTGCCACATAGCAAGGCCCTGATTACATCATAGAATTACTAATCATGATACTAATTGTACTCATATTCGTTGCCCACAACAGAAATGAATGAGTATGCCTACTCATATTCGTTAATTGCCTCACTTAATCCCACTCAAACTGTAACTTGTTCAATGCCTGCAAGATGAGGTATGCCTACTCCTCTCACTGTTACTCTATCAAATTACCATCACACTACTCCTCACTTAATTAAATTAAGCATCGGAAGGTACTCGACCAATACAACACTAATACTTTCACTATTAATTACCATTTACTTTCTTACATATAACATCAAAACTCCAGCCCTGTTTGGCCTGACCACGCATGCTGAATCGGTTCTAGTTTTCTCGCTTGTCAATTTTTGGTCATCAACTAGTAGTCATTCAGTTCAATGTTACCACGTTTGGATTGAGACTAATTTGGCGCTTCACCTTATGTCTTTTGTGTCTGATTTTGTCCCTTTGTTTTTGCCTACTTGTGCCTCGGCATAATATTGGGTATGTTGTAGGCAGTACATAGAAGGGAGGACACATATATTTCAATGAGTCTCCTTAGACCATCTCCAACCATGTTAGGGCTAAACTCAAATTTTCACCCTCTAAAATACAACTATTCATGTATTTTTAGGACTCAAATTTTTTTTTCCTCCAACCTTGCAGACTCATAATTTGAATTCACAACTTTATTGAATTGTTTAAGAATGATTAACCCTTAATTTTTTTTTGTCATTTATTTTTCTTGACATTATTTTTGTTTCAACATTCGTGAATTAATTTTCTAAACATTTTAATATAAAAAAATTGAAAGTCCATAAACATAACATTTTTTTTGCTTAAAATTAAAATGAGAACGATTGTAGAGTTTGAGAGTGGGATCTCATTTATATAAATTAAAAATATTATTTTAACCATTTGATTTTAATTTCGACCATTGGATCTTTTTTCTCTCGTTAAAATCAAGTTGAAAAAATATGGGCCGTTTATATCTATTTGAGAAAGCTTGAAACATCACAAAAAGTTGGTTCCCATTACTTGACACGTGGCTAGCTTTTAAAGGCTCCAAAAGATTTTGTAAAGAATTAAAAAAAAACAAGGAGATGCATAATTGGTTTTCAAAGGGAGCTGTTGGATTCCAACATCCCTTTGATGTGAGCCTTCCACGTGTCCAGCAAGTTGGCTTTGTCTTGCCATTCCTTCACATGCTGCGCAAGTTGGCTTCAAATTGGGGCCCACAGAAATTCCACCGGGACTGGAAAGTTGTGCCAAATTCCACCCAAGATTTCAGTCTGACCCAAATTACCACCCCTCCTTATACATGTTTTTTTTTTTTTGGTCAACCTCCTTATACATGGTTGGAGAAGGTTTTTGGGGCTATAATCTTAAAATTTGGATTTGGCTCTCATGGTTGGAGATGGCCTTATAGAAGAGGAAAAAAGAAACACACATGCACATCAAAAGGATAATCTCCAAGTCCTTGAGGAGTTTTTGTATAGTATCATACATAAGGGTGAGTATCAATTCAGCCGAACCAACTAAATCGCCCGACGAGACTCATACAAGACATAAATTTTTTACAATACACATGTCATTTACTCTTATAACATGAGTGTATCCCACTTCTCTTCCAGCCAGCATATCGCATTCTCTTCAACAACAACAGTCATATAAATCATGTACAATGATCTAAATAATTTTCGAGCCCCATTTTGGTGAGATTATATATGCATATATATATATATATATAGCATATAATTAATAAAGGAGCAAACTATGAAGAAGCCGAAGACTGTGAAGAAGCTCGCAAAGTCCAGATGTTGTTGGGATCCACAGGAGGAGGCATCTGATTGTAATATACCACACAAGGGCTCTCATGATTGTGCACTCCATCATATGTGGTTATCACATAGCTCGAGTCTTCTCGGTCCCTCTCCACCCTCTTCTTTACATGGCACCCTCCACTTGAACATTTGTAGTAATTTCTGTTGAATATAATTTAGGCACAAAAACGTCATTCTCGAATTAGAAATAATTAATAAAAAATACAAAGGGCGAGCGGCGTAGCCACAGATAGTGAAATTAATCACCCCTACGTTTTATGTATATACATGATTATTGATGTTATTTACTTACCAGAAATAGGGTGATAAACAACAATTACAAATAGATAGGGACACTAGTTAAAACTCTAACAAATTTTACATAAATAACTTTAAATACTTAGCTTTTAACGTAATTTTTGAATACTTGTGTATTTTACATATCGGCTCCAAATCTTACAATTCTAACTCCGCCCATGTTCATGAGGGATTCTATTTTTCTCAAGTTGACATGACACATATATATATATATAGTTATTAATTTGGCCTCATTTACCAAAAATCTTCATATTTTCTCATATAGCTAGACTCTTAATTACCTCATTGTATAATATTTACTATCCATTAAGTGAAAACAAGCAAATCTTACTTTAAAAGATATATATATATATATATATATATATATATATAGGAGAATATGAATCTAGTAAAAGGGAAATGGGTTGAATCCGGGGAGGGTATGCCATCCCCATCCCCATCCCCATCCCCATCCTCGTTAAGCATTTTTCCCCTATCCTTGCCTTAATACTTGCAAAATTCATATCGGGGATTCCCCATCCCCACCTTCGTTGGGGAGTGGGTTCCCTAATCCGCCCCATTACAGAAGAAAAAATAAATCAATATATAACTATTTTGTTGAAAAAAAAAGTACCCAAGCAAGATAATGAATATATATAATATATACTTATAAGAATATAAGAATGTTTATATATGGACTGAAAGTTAACCAAATAAATAATAGTGTGGCTTAAGATTTATATAAATTATATAATATAATAATATAAAATATAAAACTTAGTCGGTACAATCACTTTTAATAGCATATTTATAAAATTGTCATTCATACCTGACCCATGCTCGTTAAGCATTTTTCCCCTATCCCTGCCTTAATACTTGCAAAATTCATATCGGGGATTCCCCATCCCCACCTTCGTTGGGGAATGGGTTCCCTAATCCGCCCCATTACAGAAGAAAAAAAAATCAATATATAACTATTTTGTTGAAAAAAAAAGTACCCAGGCAAGATAATGAATATATATAATATATACTTATAAGAATATAAGAATGTTTATATATGGACTGAAAGTTAACCAAATAAATAATAGTGTGGCTTAAGATTTATATAAATTATATAATATAATAATATAAAATATAAAACTTAGTCGGTACAATCACTTTTAATAGCATATTTATAAAATTGTCATTCATACCCGACCCATGCTCGTTTTTTTTCCTTCATATCCGACCCACTAGGTTGAATCCCTGCGAAGATCTTGCCCATGAGGAAAATTTTCATCCCTAATAATGCTATACTTCTCTTCTTATCAAGTAAGTAGGAGCTCTTACATTCCTGCTGAGTTTTTTAAATAGCATAATTATAAAATTTATTATCTTATAATTAATTATCAAATCCAAGTTTTTCATTATCTTATGCAATCTAGTTTTAATTAAGAAAAGCATTATGGATAATGATATTAATAAAAATATAATATAATTGATCTCCTCCTAATCTTAGATATAGAATAAATATTATCATTATTACCTTGGATTTGGGCTGTTCTTGACGGACTTCTTTCCGTACTTCCTCCACTTGAATCCATCATCCATAACCTCCAGCTCCGATTTAGTTCTGAAAGCAACCCTATGACCCATTTCTATCTTGTTTCTCCTCCCCTCATTTCTGCATTTCCTACCAAATCAAATCAAAATAAGTCTTTTTCATAGTTTCAAAAACAAAATAAAATAGACCTTGCTAATTATATTCAGAAAAAAAATATAAAAAAATTAAATAAATGATAATAAATATAAGGATTACTTACATATTATTGTTGCTATTTCTTGATGTTGCACCACCACTGGATCCAGTAGAGCAGTCAGCCATGAACTTCTCCGGCGACACGGTACTTAAAGACGAAGAATCTTGATGATCATCAACACCATAATCAAGCATGAAATAGTCTGATAACTCATCAAAATCGATGGAAGGATCGACGCTCTCTCCGAAGTGATAAGGGCCGGCAGAGCTAGGGTTTGGATTCTGAAGACAGTCCATTATTGCCAGAAAGCTACAAAGCTGGAAGTGGAAAAATGGTAGAAGTAAAGACAGGTCTTGCTTAATTGGTTGTTACTTGTTAGGCATGGTTTCTACATATAAATAGTAATAAACATAATATTTCCTTTTTCCTTTTTCTTTTTTCTTTTTTCTTTTTTCTTTTTTAAATCGCTCCTTCATATACACTTTCCTTGAGGATGTCACGAAGCTTCTTTGCTTGCGTCACGTGGCAACTGTAGGGCATCTTGGTGACGTCATCGTGAGGACGTAAGATTGGTTTGCTTTAGGTATTGGCATTTGGGACCAGTGGCTTGTAATAATATTTGTTTGTTTTGATAGGCGGCACTATCGTGGTGGGGGATATTGATAGTTACTCCGACTCAGATAACCGGAGGCACTACTTGAGAGGATTATCCACAAAATATATCAAAAACACATAGACAAAATATATATTCAATATAGAAAAGACCTAGACAAAATATATATATATATATATATGTGTGTGTGTGTAGAGAGAGAGAGAGAGAGAGAGTTTGAATACTAAACATAATTCTCTCACTCACGGCTAAAGTTACGGCTAAAGTGAAGGAAGTTGAGGTTTTATTCCAAAACCAAATTTGTAATAAGGCTCAACTTCTTATAAGCCTATACAAAATTACTTAACTTTCCACACTCACGTGTAGCGAAATTTCAAATTTGATATAGACACCTTAATTGGATGAGGTGAACGTGTGACCGTTGATCTTAACATGCGGGTAAACATGATCTGATAACATGAAGGAAGTTGAAGTTCCACCCTACAAATAATTAGAAATGGAGAAGTGCCCAACTCCTTTTAAGCCCGTACAAGATCCCTTATACTTATGGATGTCTTTAAGAAACGATATGTGCTATACCTATATGTGTTTAAACAATATTATTATTAGAAATGGAATTAGATTCTTATGGGATGTTTGTTCCCTCAAAATGGTTGGTGCTAGTTAATGTTCAAGTCTTTATACCTTACCCCATGGCAGTGCTTTATTTATCTTCCATATTAATCATGTTTTTTATTCATTCGTTATTCTAACATCCACGTATCATTTAAAAATGGTGAAAGAAGATAGGATACCGACGATCCGCAGAGACTTTAAATAAAAGGCAATGTTTTGTAATGATGTTGGAGACTGTATGTGAGTCTTTTTACCGGACTTGGAAACAATAAATTTTAGTATCTACTGTGTTATCTGATATGCTTTATAAAAGAGGTCATTCTTCTCTATGGAGTCGTTTAGACCTAGAAAATTTCGCCCATGGTCCCAAAGGAAATGGTCATTTCAAAAGTAAAGGAAATTGAAGGGAGCAACTTGTTGGGCTTTGAGGGACATTTGGGCTCACACGAAGTGGCCCAAATAATGAAGAGATAGTTCGACCCAACTCTTCAAGGTCGAGGAATTTTTAGGGTTTCGGATTTCAAGTAGAGATATCAATAAGAACTTCAAAAACATTCAAGGTTCTTGAGCGCCACCCATTGTAACCATACATTCAGTATATCAACAAGGTCTTTGTTTTCCGTTTACAAAGTCATTTCTTGAGTGCCACCCATTGTAACCATACATTCAGTATATCAACAAGGTCTTTGTTTTCCGTTTACAAAGTCATTTCTTGAGCACCATCCAATCCATCTCAAACCAGATATCTTAGACCCTTTAAATTTTTGGGCTATATGAAGTTATTTGAGCTACTGAGCTCGGTGACGCATAACCTAAACCTATCACGGTTGAGAGTTTGTTCCACACTTGGCCATGCCCCCCCAATCATGCTGCCTGTGTGAACAAACAAACTTTGCACAACCAGCTTTAGCAGTTCCGCCTAATCGATCGCTGTGAAGTAAGTAGTTTTGCTGGCCAGAGAAATTCTGACTCTTAAACTCAACTGAAAGAGAGTGAGACTCCCCTATAGGAGTTGAACACAGAAGAAAGGGGTTGCCCGACTAATTATTTTATTTGAATAATTGACCAAGCAGGCTGAAAAGAATTAGTGGTTAACAGGAGTTTGACGGATTAGCTGCTCAGAGTGTAATAAACATGTTAAGTTAGTGCCAAACACAATTAACCTAACTAATTTTTTACACAACAAACTTGTTTATATCTATTTATATAAAGGGAGAAAAAATATATATTAAATGAGGATACTAATATCCCACGTCTGCTTTCTATGTCACTTTAAGTGGCTGTGTTAATGTGTGAATAAGACAGAAAAGGTAATTATCATATCTAATCAAACGAATCATATTTGAACATATATAATAATTTTGTATGGAATGATTAGGCACTTGGCCACATCCGCCTAATAATAAAGAAAACCTAGGCAGCCATCTATTAAATTTATTCCTTAATTAATTACATATTCAACTTTCCTTAATTATTAATTGCATATTTAATTTGTGTTGTTTACATTTAGTCAAAAAGGAAGCAGAGGTCAATATCCAATGGGTGACCAGCGTCTAAGACAATCCTATGAAGCAGACCCAATAACTATTAAGGTGTGTTTCTGGATGGGTGAGAAGCAGAAGTGAGAGGGAAAGTGCAAAGAAGTATCAAAACTCGACAAGATCATTGACCTTATCATCAGAATTTTATAATGTCTAGATTCATACTTTATTTTGTTTTCTGAGATTTTATGTTGGATTAATTTGAGTGGGAAAATAGGAAGGAAACTTCTTTTGACAGCTATGGCCGCAAGACATTTTGCTAAAGCTAGTAAACTAGCTAGTAATATCCCTTTCACTTTGTTTGTTGGTTTCAATTTTCAACTATGATGATGATAATGATGTAGTGAAAATTATTTGGTCTTCCATCTAAATTCTCTCTCTATTCGGCAAATACAACGAAGGGCGGAAACACCTTTTAGACTAGACTGGACTTCAACCCAGTGTAGATTTTCACAAATAAAATACTTTGGTACTAATTCGTAGGAAATTTACCTCCCGTAGTGAAAATTAACTCATCCTGTATCAGTCAAAAGTAGTAAGTTCATCACAATAATTCATTATACAAAGTCAGTCAGTCACCCACTATAATAATATGGGGAAAAAGTCCTTACAAAAAGTCCTTGTTCCACACTTGGATGCAACCCTGCCTCATATTTTATTTTTTGTTTTAATGTTTTTAATTTTCTCTTAGTCTCCCCTCTACATGTTTTGTTGACAAAATAATTTTCAGTAGATGCGATGTGGAAACTGAATGGGCCGACTTTCTTGAACTGGAAATTAAAGTTATGCATGTGTAAGATACTGGTTGAATAATATTTAAGCAAAGCAAAGCAACAAGGTTGTGTTCACGGGTTGGTTCGTGGGGCTACAAATGTTGTTGGACTTTACACATCTTCCAAGGTTTTACTTTTATCGGACTTAAATTAGTCTTCGGGGAGATGCACGTTCTGTTCTGTTACTTTCCCAGATTATATGGAAGCTCAGCCGCCTCAACAACATGGATTTTTGGTGTATATGTGGTTTGGCTTTGGCCAACTGAAATACATGGAGCAAGTTTGAAGAAACTACTATATATCATGGGAAGCAAAGTGTTAGACTTGTCAAAAAGAAAATCTTTAGCAGCCCGAAATTAGTAAAAATTACCCGTTAAGCAAGAAATTCGTACTACTCAAATACGGTATTGTTTGGATTAGTTAGCCGGCACGGCATCAACCTAACAGAATTTCATTTTTGGTGTTGTGTTTTGTGTTTTGTGTTTTGTGTTTCAACCCACTTTTGGATAGTTCCATCATGCTTTCTAATATTTTAGGGTGTTGATGTTTTCTCCAACCATTCTCCCATGACACAATTGATATATGTCTGCCCACTTGACTCTATGTCCTCTGATACCCATAAAAATGTTTTGTTAGACCTCGGTCAATATTTTAATATTTAGACATAATCATACAATTGTCAACTATGACTCAGTTATAATTTTGTACCAACTTAGTTTGTCACCTTCTAAAACTACCTCCTATGTCTCAGCTAATGCACGCTCGCTAATCTTGTGAAAGACTCGGTCAAGTCTTCTGATGTTGTGCGTACGTAGCAAAAACTTCTTAATGCATTTTGGTCATTTTCGCCACATAGATACGACATTATTTCCTCTTTAATTCAGATGAATTGTTTTACGTTTATGAGTTTTTATAGATAAATTATTATTATTGAAGGTCAATTTCTCTTCATATTTTCAATGCAGGAATTTTGTTTTGAGCTAATTTAATTATGGTCCATACTTATGACTGAAAGCTAAGAAAACATAACGTGCTATTGATTAGAATTAAAAATGAAAATAGGACCATTACATTCTCTATTTTCAAAACATAATTATGACCTAAACTAAATTTTCTAAAATTACTAGGGGTGGGCATAATTTCAGGTCAATCCAACCGACCTATTCAACCCGATCATAGTAGATTGGGTTGGGTTAGCTTAAAAATAAGCCTTAATTTTGAGTTAAGTTAATCGAACAGCCCAATAAATCATAAACTGCTATATATTGGGTTGGGTTACGAGTTGGGACTAAAACCAATCCAACCCAACCCATGTCCACCCCTAATTGATGCTTTAGTTTGAAATGTCAGTCCTTTCTCAGATTGAGGCGTAATACAAGGAGTCAAGGCTCTATAAGCTAAAAGTTTCTTCAAGAGGTGCACTTCTAACACATAGGTATTGATATTACTCTAATTCATGATTTCCCAGCTTGTACTAACACATAAGAATAAAAAAAATAAGAAGAAGATTATGTGAGTTCCACGTTAAAATTCATAAACTAATACCTTTAAATCAAGAATTGGATAAACTATGGGGAGTAGTTGATCTCTCCCTAGTTGATCCAATTCCAATTCCTTAATTTTCTATTCCTCAATTCATAACTTCTTCCATTCCTAATAAGTGTCGAGAGAATAATACTTCCCATTTAATTTTGTGAGTTGAATAATGTGTATTATAATTGAGAAAAAGCCCAAATGCGAAATCAAGCATGCCAAGCTAAAAGCCCAAATTAGCAACAATGCATATTCCATTTACATGAGATCGATTACAAAACAGTTCAAAATGGAAAGTAGAATCCAAAGTCCAAATTGATGGTGGGCAGGGCAGAATGCAAATTTGAAGAATTTTAATATATATAAAAATTTAATTAAATATGCAGCAACGGCCAGTCAATTTTGCAAATTGAAAACCTGTCCAACCTGCCAATTAAAATCAAGCAGAGAGCACAAAATGTTGAGGCAAGCACGACTGGCACGTAAGCAAATAGTCAACTAAACCACTTTAATTTTCTAAGTCCAATACCGTACGAAATATTTTAAAAAATATATATAATAAAAAATAAAAAAATAAAAAGGAGGTCAGCTGGCGGGTAACGTTGGTTTTGGTTGGCAAAGTTCACATGGCTCTCACTTTGTATAATTCAAACACATCACAAGCAAAAAAGAAAAAGAAAAAAAGAATCCCAAGAAAAAAGTTGAGCACGAAGAAAGAAGGAGAATCAGGAACCACTTGGAAAAGTTGGCCTGCCCTTTTTTTCGTCAACCGTGATCTCTCTTTTCCCAAACTTTCCCAACACTGTTGGATTGGATATTCAAAGGAAGCAGAGAGCTAAAGTTTGGAGCTTCAAAGAAAAACCCTTTTCTTTCTTTGTCTTCTTTGTATATTACAGAGAGCTACAGTGGTCCAATCTTCAATCTTCAATGGATATTTCTATGAAAAGAAGAACTCTGCTTAAGGTCATTGTCCTTGGAGATAGTGGGTATGTCTTACTTTTTTTATTTTATTATTTTATTTTTGATGTAATGGGTTTTGTTTCCTGCATTTTCCTCAATATGGGCTTCTTTTATTTTTTGGTTTTGTGTGGTATTTCAGGGTGGGAAAGACGTCTTTGATGAATCAGTATCCTTTACACTCACAAACTATTTTGTTCCACATTTGATTTATGCAAAGTCATGCATGAAATTTGAATTTGCTGCAATTGGATTGGAAATCCAGTGTTATATATGCTCTGTGGATCCTTAATTTGTTGTTTAGATATGTGTACAAGAAGTTCCATCGACAGTATAAAGCTACGATCGGTGCTGATTTCGTCACGAAGGAACTTCAGATTGATGACAAGTTGGTGACTTTGCAAGTGAGTAATTTAATCAGAGCAATTAGTAGTATCCATTCATATAAAATTCCTTAACAAAAGGCTTTATGCTAAGTTTTCTTTGCTGCTGCATCTGTCTTGGACAGGTTTGGGACACAGCGGGGCAAGAAAGATTTCATAGTCTTGGAGCTGCGTTTTATAGGGGAGCGGATTGCTGTGTTCTTGTGTATGATGTGAATGTGAGCAAATCATTTGAAACACTTCAGAACTGGCATGAAGAGTTTCTCAAACAGGTTTCGTTGAATTGCTTTGTTGCTTGCTTCTTTAATTTCCAATTTTTTCTGTTCATGGTAACAAGACAGCAAATGATTTACAAGGTCATTGGAAATTTAAAATATGGTTTAGTTTTTTTTTATTTCTGGTAGATTAAGATAGATGGTCTGCAACTGATCCTGATTCTGATTATTGGTATTTTCATGAATGGTTACCAGGCTGATCCGACTGACCCCGAGGCATTTCCCTTCGTATTACTTGGAAACAAAATCGATGTAGATGGTGGAAACAGCCGAGCGGTATGAACAGAATGCATACTGAACTTTTTTTCCTAGGCCTTGTCCTTGTAGTACAAATTAAATTAGCACCCCAATTGTGCAGGTTTCTGAGAAGAAGGCTAGAGAGTGGTGTGCTTCAAAGGGAAACATACCCTACTTTGAGACCTCCGCGAAAGAGGATTATAATGTCGATGAAGCGTTTCTATGCATTGCGAAAACAGGAATGATCAATGAACATGAACAAGACATGTAAGTATACTTTACAGAATCACCAACAGTGTGCTAATGCATTGAGGTCATGATGCTGTTTTTTTCCCCAACATCTTTTATTGATTTCCCTTTCATGATGCTGATATACCAGTTTGCAATGTTGCAGTTACTTCCAAGGTATTTCAGAAACTGTTTCAGAAGCAGAGCAAAGAGGAAGCTGTGCATGCTAAGGATGGGATATGTATATCCCTACTAATTTCAATCTGAATATGTAAATTCTTTCATAATATTATTTTTTCTTTCATTCTTTTGAGGGTGGAAGAAAGTGTGTTATATATTTACCATTTTCATGTGTTGTACCATTCATCATATACCATTGTAAGTTGTCTACTTTTTAGCTCTTGAAAGCAAGTGATTAAACCATCATATACCTTATGCTAATGTGGAATGACATAAACTTCATTCTTCAAAATGCAGAAAAATGTACAAAAATTTTTTTAATGCAAGAGATAGTTTAAACTAAGAGAGGAGTTTTCAGACGTACACGAACAAGGAGTGGTGAGAATTCGAATCTGAGACCACTAGTCTGCAGTCCAACGCTCATTTTCATTGAGCTAGACCTCAAAAATGCGCCATTTTTAGGAGACTCAAACTCATCAACAAACGAAAAGGTGGAGTATGATGGTTGGCCACAGAAAACCGTTAAAACAATACAGTATACGCAACTTCTAAAATAATTAAGAAAAAAAAAAAAAAAATTATTATTAATAAAAAAAAAAAAAAAAAAAAAAAAAAGGTTCTACCTTGACCGTCCGATCTCTCTACAACAACACGCATGTAACACTCAACGCAGACCATCAGAGATTTGGACGGCGAGGATCTTTCTGATGCAAATGTCCCCACCTAAATGGCCTCGACCTGAATCACACAAATACAAAATTTCTCATTTAATCATTTCTACGAAAAAAAAGGAAACCAGAGAAGGTTCTCTGCGATGGCGTTCTCTGCAATTACTACGCACAGCCCCTCTCTTCTTCGTCTGCCGACGAACCTCCCTGTAACCTGTTCACCTCCTAATTCAATTTCGTTTCGATTTTCAAAGAATAATCTCAGCCGTAGAAAACCCCTTTCAATTCGATCAACTTCAACTTCAACTCCGGGTATTTTATTTTCTTCTTGTTCCCCAATTTTGTTTTTTATATTTGAATGAACTAATTTAAAATCTTTACTTTGCCTGTTAGAACATATGTAATGGCTTACACTTTTAGCTGTTAATTGGTCTTTGCTTGTTTTTCTCCTTCAGCTGCTACATAACAATTGGGATATTATGACTCTTTTAATTATTATTTTTTAATGTTTAATTTGGTGCATTTTGGGGTGATTTGATATGGTTTGCTTGAATTTGAATTCTGTATGTGGAAAATGTATGTGTAGGCTATAAATGGTTTTTTTTTTCCTGTTCAATTACATTGAACATGTTGTACAGTACAAATAATAGCTGCTTGAATTTTGGATGTAAAATATAGTTTGCTTGTAATATCCGAATTCATGGTTCTGTGGGCTTGCTGCTGAATTTGATGGTAATATATGCAAGTTACGTGATTGTTTTTGTTTTGAAGAAAGTTTGTGACTTTCACAGGCAAGACATAGAATTATTGAAAAGAAAAAAGTTTGGTATTTTGGGTAAATATGGCGACTAGACATCATGATGTTGGGCCAGGATGCTTGTGATGAGATTTTTCAACCATAAACTTGTGATGAGATTTGTTGAGAAATGCATTCCACATAGTAATTAAGTGTTTCATGAATTTATGATTTATGAGACTGACTGTGCTGATGCTAAGATGCTTCTATGTTTCAGCTGCACCGAAAACCGAGGGGCTTGCACCTGCAATTTCACTTACGGATAACGCATTGAAGCACTTCAATAAGATGAGATCTGAACGCGGTGAAGACTTATGCTTGAGAATTGGTGTCAAACAGGGTGGGTGCTCTGGCATGTCTTATACAATGGACTTTGAGAGTAGGGCCAACGCAAGGCCAGATGATTCTGTCATTGAATATAATGGTTTTGTTATGGGTAAGCCTTTATATCATTCTCTTAGTCATGTGAGGATGTGCTACTTATGAAAAATAACTGATATGCTACTTGTCATAGTTATTGTAATGACTGCACTAGTTCCCACTTTCCTTGATTTCCATTTGAGTCATGATGCATGTTAAAGCATTTTCATGCGTATTTTAAACTGTGCTAGAGTCTTTCTTTCTTTCATAGAAAAGTAAATGTTCCATGTTTCTATTTAGAACTTTTTAAGAACAAATTATCCCAGTTCTTAACTGCTTCTATAGACATGATACATTAGCATTTTCATGAGCAATTATTCAAGCACATGGACAAGGAGTCCACCACAAAGAAAAGAAAAAAAATAATTAGTGTGAATCCTACCTAACAAATGTAACCTGCTGAAAATATTTTAACACCCTCCTATGATCCTATCTAGAAGAATATTGGACAGAGAAGCACCCCTGAAGTCAGTTGAAACAGATGCCCATACAGAGGACCAAAACATAACCTTGTCCCATAATCCCTCAGCTTCAGCGGGTCTGGGATCTTCAGAAATTTTTCTCTTCCTTTCCACCTAAGTAACCCAGATGACAGCCAACACACTGCAAGCCCAAAGGACTTTTACCTGCTGGCCACTTCCATAATCCTTATACCCTTCGCATAACAATGGGACAGTTCTATGGACCTGTCTCTCCTTAGCTTTTTGAAATAATATCCACCACAAATTTAAGGCAACTGAACAGTGAAGAAATATGTGCCACTTTCCCCCTTCTCCTGCACATGATGCATCTCTGACGAGATGCATACACTTCTGCTGGCAATCTGCTTAGAAGCACATCAGATTTTTTCAATTTAGCATGAGCAGCTATCCATTCCAATCTCCACCACCTAGAACCAGGCCTATGGCACCTCTTGGATAAGAGCAGCACATAATAGACTTCTACCAGCTCATTGGGAAAGGAGAGCTTTCAGCAATTTTTGCATGATGTACTCCATAGAAACTTGATAGACGAAACAGTCTTGGAGATAGGAGTTGTAGTGTGTTCCCACCCGCCCATTTGTCCTCCCAAAATCTCATTCTCTCCCCATTTGCCATTACTAACTGACAGCACACTGAAAAATCTTCATAGGTGTCTTTCCAAGAGCTTCTATTGGATCATCATATCATGTGGCTCTCTTCCCTTCCCATCCATTATTTTGCATACCATATTTTCCTTTTATAACAGTAAAGTGAGAGCTCTGCCCTATTAACCCATCGAACCCCTTCCAATCCCTTTACTGCTGTGCTACAATAGTATCAGCTTCGGTACTATTTAATAAAAAGATATTATTTAAAAACCTATTTTAGCATGACATATTATACAAAAGCCCATATAGAGCCTATTTGGAGAGAAAAACCCAAAACTAGCAACTTGTTATTTTCTAATTGGTTCTTAGTGTGTTAAAATTTTATAATAACCAATTAGAAAATGACAAGTGGCTAGTTTGGGGTTGTCTCTCGAAATAGGTTCTTTACAAAAATATGTCATGTTGGAATGGGCCTTCAGACTTTAAATGAAATAAGATCTAGTTACTATATGGTTGTATATAAGAAAATTTTTGTGAGCAGAGTATGTCGTATATTCTTGGTCTTATGACTTCGAAGTGTCCTGTGATGTTGCTTGTGCATTTCAAGATAGTTTGAAGATACCATAGTTAATGTTCTCTTTTTGACCATTCCATTGATGTACATATCCAGGAGATAGAATGCACTAATACCATATTGTCACGCTATATGGCACTTGCTTTGTTTGGATCTTTCCCAGTAACTTTGCATTATGCTTGGCAAGGATAAGTAACTCGTGTTTCCCTTTGTGTTGCAGTTTGTGATCCGAAGAGCCTCCTCTTCTTGTATGGCATGCAATTGGACTACAGTGACGCTCTTATCGGCGGAGGCTTTTCTTTCAAGAACCCCAATGCCACACAAACATGTGGTTGCGGTAAATCTTTTGCGGCGGAGATGTAGGATTGTATATGGAACATGTAAATAGAATGAATATGATACAGTAAAGAAAACTTTGCATTATGTTAGTCATCCATTACATGTTTCAGATATGTTCTTAAAGGACCATTATTGACATATATTGCATTGCTGCATATCTGCCACCAGAATTTCTAATTTTACTTCGTCCCAATAACCCTGTTCCAGCCTTGTTTTTGTTGCTGCTGTTATTATTATTTGTATTTATTGTTTTGTATGCTTCTTCGATTCATTTTGGTCATGATCCTTCAATCGCACCTCCTTTGCTCAAGTCGTGATCGCTACTTCCAACAACAACTGCACCTGATCATTAGCCAGAAAAGAAAAAAAGGTTCAGACAAGCTCTGAATCTTTCTTGTTTGTAATGGGGTGAATTGGGGCCGGGTATGCCATTTCTATCCAAATTCCTGTAAACTTTTTTCGTCCCTTCCTTCATATATGTAATATTCAAATATGGGATTTCCCATCCACGTCCGCGTATTCATTAGGAAACTTCGGACTGCCCTATTACAAAAATAATTTTTGAGCAAAACAAATAAAAGTTAAAAACTATTGGACTAGGAAACAAACACCTTTTTTACTATGTGTGTGTGTGTATATATATATATATATATATATATATATTTCAAGTCAAAATCTAATATAAAATTTGGTGGAAGTCGTGGGGCACATCTAAGAGCCACTTAACAATATATTGATATGAAAAATAAATAATATATATTTAAAACGAGGCAGGTTTTGGTTTTGGAATTAAAATATTATCTATTTTATGCCCTGCATACCATACATGAGAACTTTTCCGAACTCATTTTCATATCTGATTTCTATCTTTCATCCCCAACCCATTAGGAGCGAAAGCTCACAAAAACTCTTAACTCAATGGGAAAATTGCCATCCCTAGCCCGAGTGGCTGGACAAATGGAGGGAAGGGGATGTCAACCATGATGATATTTGACTGGGTAAACAGGTTTTCAACTGTGTAATTCACAATCAATTATCAACATTGATTGTAGCTAGAGAATAATGAGAGATTGTAGAATTGACTTCATACTCTTATCCTCGTAAAGGGATACAAATGAACGAGGACAAAGATACATCTGCCCGTGATGATATTGAAGTAATTTTTATGCTTAGTACCAAATTCAGTCTATAGAAGATATATATCAAATATTATTATGTTGCGGTCATCAAATAATTGAAGTTTGTTGTCATCAAGAGGTGCTTGTATCAATTTTATACACACATAACATATGCGCGAGGTTTTTTGTGTTTTTTTTTTTTTTAGCTTTTTTTTTTTTTTTAACAACAACAAACAAAAACGAGCCTAACACCATTCGAAAATTCAAAAATTAAAAACAAAGGAACTCAGTGGCATTTTGGTAAATATAAACAACTATGTCTTCAAGTATTTTTTGGTCGAAAACGTCTTCAGGTTAATTCACAGTGGCTGGGTCAAAAAAAGAATTGGGCATGATACATTAAAACGACATCGTAGAAGATCCAACGGTCCGCATATAAGGCAGACGAACTCATCGTCTCTCTCACTCTCCATAGTATCTCAGAAGTCAGGTAGAGGCCTCAAAGCAATCAAATCCAAACCCTAAAACCGAAACCCGAAGAAGAAGAAGAGGAAGACTGAGCTCCGATATGGCCTTCTCTTCCCGCCTCTTATCCAAATCTAGACAGGTCAGTCAATCGATCCCATTTCTCATTCATCTTCTTTTGTTTTTAGTTTCTGAGAAAATGTTTGAGAAAAATTAGGCATTTCAGATTACGATTTGTTTTTTAATTTTCTGAACGTTCACGGCGATTAAATTGCATAATTTGCGCTAGTTTAATCTGACTTGGGTGATTAGAAATTGTTTTTCACTTGGTTTTATTTATTTTTGATCCGAGTGATGATGGATATGTGAAAAGCTTTTGGGCATTGGATAAATGAAGGCTTGGAATTGATGAACGTTTGTATTAATTTTGCTTGCAATGTTTCAGCTGTGTGGCAATGGAGTCATTATTCAACAGGAGCGTGTTATTCCAGTCCGTTACTTTGCTAAGGAAGCAAATCGCCCTGTGCTAAAGGGTGATGGTGAGTAGTCGAAAATCTTGGCCTTATTTACGTTTACGCTATTGATTGTGATTTGCGAGCTTGCCAAAAATATCAACTTTGAGAAATATGGATTGCTTTGTGATTTTCACAGTTTAGAGTGATCTGAACCTGGGAATGTTATACAATGCTGGGTTCCAAAGTTGGTCTCTTGCATTTGTGTGTGTCTTTTAGATAGGATGTATTTATTGTGACTGGCTATCCATTGTTGACCTTATTTACGTCTTTCCCTCCTTAATATTGAGTAAGAAATAAAATTCTAGTTGATTTTTTTTCTTCTTTCATTTATTAATACATATCTGTGATAAAACCGCACTGAATATTTCTTACGTTTGAGGGGTAAAGAGATGCTGAAGAACATCTTCTTGGATGTTAAAAAGAAGTTTGAGACAGCCCTTGGAATACTTCGCAAAGAGAAGATCACCATAGACCCAGAGGATCCAGCCGCTGTTTCTCAGTATGCCAAGGTCATGAAAACTATAAGAGAGAAGTCAGTTCCTTTAACCCTTTACCACAGTCTATTCCTTCTAATAATATGATTGCTTTGTTGTTTTGTGCATTTGTGCAGATGTGCCTATTTGTTTGCATATGTAGTAAACTTTTATATTATTTGTGACAAACACATAAACATGAGATGACACTGTTATGTTTCTAGAGTGTACATTATCTTGATTAATTATTATTATTATTATTTTTGCATAGTTTATACATGATATAATGCTTCAGTACGGAGGAAAGAAGTGGTAGGTAGTGCAATTAAGGAAATTGGTAGGGAGGGGATGAGAAGGGAGGGGATATTGACAACTAATATTCTCGATCAACAATCTGGGAAGGAACTTGAACTATAGTATATTGTTCTTTGAAAAGAAGAACAAATTGATCAGAGAGAAAACTTACCCTGTCAAACAAAAAGAAAAAAGAGGGCTTTTTGGATTCTCATGGTTTGCCACATGGTCAGCCTTGCAAAGAGCATTTATATGTTGCACCTATTAAATTGAAGCTTTTCTTCCAAAGGTTAACTTGCATTAGTTTATTTCTGTCGTGAAACTTGGTTATTGGTGGGGGCACTACTCATCACCCTATGTGAGATTGGCACTTGACTGTCTCCGGACTAGGAACAATCATTGAATAACATAGTTTTGCCATTTGTAAATTTAACTTCCAAAAAATGGTAATATTACTGTAGATCTCCTTTTATCTTGTTAGTCGTTATATGTCTTTTCTTAACTTCTACTGTTACAATGACTTAAGAAAAGTGGATAACATTACTATCACTGTAGAATAGGGAGCCTTACACATTCTCCTGTTTTTGCTCCATTAGATGCCACCTGCATTTCAGTGTTTTAATTTTGTTGAAGTGGCCAGTAATGCATTTGGTGTCCTGCAGGGCAGATCTGTTCTCAGAATCTCAACGCATCCAACACACGATCCAAAGCCGAACACAAGAAATCCCAGATGCTAGAACATACCTGTTGACTTTGAAAGAAATTAGGATCAAGTATGTGCTATTCTGCTCTCAAATTGGTTGATGTCTTGTATAATGTGATTAACATGGCTTTTTAAATTGCTGCCTGTACTCCTATTCTTTCTGCTATAACTCATGGGGTCCTTATTTTATTATGTAATTTCTACCAAGCTTACTGTGGTTATCATCTGTGATCTAAAATCAGAAACAATTTCTTTGGTCCATTGACCATGAATGTTTTCTGGGATAAGTTTTCTAGTGTGATTATATTTAGAGGATGTGTGTTGCTCTGAATTTGTATTTGGAAATTAATTTCTAGGAGTGGAAAGGTTACCTGGTTCTTTTGGGGGCTGGAGGTTGGTTAATGGACCAAAGAAATTATGTGTGGGGCGGGCATTCTATCTATTGGAGGCTGGTTAACAAGAATCCAACCTCTTCTAAAGGAGCTTCCTAGTGGCTTGCTAGGAAGGTGGAGAATATGATGAAGGATGTTTTGTGGGCTGGACTTGGGGAAGTAAAGAGAGAGGACTTAATTAGATGGGAGGTAGTGTCCTTAACAAAGGAGAAGGTGGTTTGGGTGTTAGCTTTTTTGTTGAAAAACAGGTCACGTTTGGTAAATGGTTGTGGTGTTTCTCCATAGAAAAGGAAGCTTTATGGCATAGGGTTATAGGAAACATGCTTGGGATGCAAAACTATTGGCTAGGGGATCTAGTACCCTTTGAAGGATATTATGATCTCTTAAATCACTGCATGCTGGTTGTAAGAAATGGCGAGAAGAGAAGGTGAGATTTTGGGTAGATGTTTGGGCAGGGGAACTACCTTTCAGCAGAGCTTCTCCTCTTTTATAATTTGTCAATATTTCATTTATGGTTATTGTAGGGAGGGCAGTTAGCTCTAATTTTCCTTTGAGCTGGGATTTTGGTTTTAGGAGGAACTTAAATGATTAGGAGGCATGAGAGATGGTTGAGTAGTCAGCAGCTTTGGAGAATTTCAAAAAAAATTATTTTATTTTTGTAACAGTAGAGAGGATTCTAGAAGGTTGTTGCTGGAATCTTGAAGCTTGTGTGACAATGCAGGTGATAATGGCAAGGTGAATACATCTGATAGGATTCAAAGGTGAAGTCTACCACAATCTTGTCTGTCACCTCATTGGTGTGTTTTGTGCAGAGCTGAAAGTCTATTCCGTTATTTCTTCATCATTCTGCATACTTCAATTTGTGTTGAAGCTATGCAAACAAGGAAATATAGCTGGGTGATCCAAGCAGGATGCAAGGCATGGTTAAGGGAGAGTCGAAAGTCTTTCTGGTAGGGAAGAAAGTAGTGTTGGAGTGAGTTTGGTGGGGAAGAAGCAAAAGATTTAAAATCTGGTTCCGTATGCTGGTAGTGTTTTGGTAGAATTATATGTAAGATAGATTCTTGTTTGTAGGTGTATACCTTGTCCACTTTGTACCTTGTTTGAGGAACTAATACATTTTGTTTCGTATAAAAGAACAAAATCTGTTTAGAAACTTCTAATATTAAATTGTCATTTAGGGTTTTTCTATCTACACATATGTCTGCCTTGCAGACATTTGTACTTTAACATTTTCGTATATACAACTACATTGGTCAATTAACTTATTTCTTACCCTTTGCAGGAGAGGTATCACTGATGAACTTGGTGCAGAGGCTATGATGATGGATGCATTGGAGAAGGTTGAAAACGAACTGAAGAAACCTCTTTTGAGGAATGATAAGAAAGGGATGGCTCTTCTCCAGGCAGAATTTGAGAAAATAAACAAGAAGTAGGTGACAATTGTTTTAAACATTTTTTATTTTCTAAGGTTTTGAATGTAGAGAAGGTGATGTTAATCCCGATTAACCTTCATTCCACTTGCATACAAGTTCAGCTTTTTTATGTAGTTTATTCCAAACTCTCCTATGAAACAAATTGTATATGCTAGACAAAAATTCTTTTTTCTTCTTTATATTCTATATCGAAAAGCATTGCCCGGTCCTGAAGACTATATGGATTTGGGGCTGTAGAATGCATTCCTAAATGATACCTAGTTGTGGCTGTGCATAATCCCAGACCCCATAGTCTAATAACTTTGCTAGTATAAGTGTGGTATAATAGCTTAAAACACTTGCTATGGTTTTTCCTATTTGGCACTGATTGGTTTGCAGTTGTGTTATTTTGAACACTTTGTGTATTGTTTGCTTACATAGCTGACATGAGATACAGGGTTCCTACCAAGTCTAACCTCTTCTTTTCAGGCTTGGAATTCGGAAGGAGGATCTACCAAAGTATGAAGAACAGCTAGAACTCAAGAAAGCGAAAGCACAGCTGGAGGAACTTAAGAAGGATGCTCTTGAGGCGATGGAAACTCAGAAGAAACGGTAATTTATGTCTTTGCTTAGTACCTCCTCTTTTATCAACATGTTTGTTTCTCTGTTTCACTAAACCATTGAGCGTCATTTGGGATTCAAGTTGGTTCTTCTGTTGAGAACAGTTGGTGACTGGTAAAATTTGCTTGCATGCTAGCATCAACATGGCTATATATTTGAGTCTTTATTACTATTAATTCTAATTCAAGGTAGGTGACTTTGCTTAAAATGGAACATAAGTTAGATGGCACGGGGGGAGAGGACTTGCTTTGGCTTTTGATAAATTGGCGTTGGTTTACAGGACTGACATGTACTTTCCATTTCAATGTTTCTCAGGGAGGAATTCAAAGATGAGGAAATGGTTGATGTGAAGTCTTTGGACATCCGAAACTTCATCTAATGATCTGGGATGTACCTTCACTGGCTTGATTTGAAATCAACCAAATGTTGGTAGAATCTGGAAACTGATGACTTTCTAGGGTATGGGGAATAGCCCTCCTGTTTTAATAAGGCCCTATTGTTTTGGAGTGCAATTATGCCAATCGATCAAGATTATGCGCTCGTTTATATTTTTTTGGACTTACTTATACATTGCCAGGTGAGAACTGGGTGCCTGTTATCACTGAGAGTTACTTTCACTACATAAAAAGTGATTGAATTTATAAACCTCCTCTTGTTATATTTTATGCAACTGTGCTGCCAGTGTACCTTCAACTTGTAGTCCAAGTTATATTCAAGCTACAATATGAAACTGCATGAAATATTTTTTGGTAAATGAATTTAAACACTAATTCATAAAAGAAAATAGGTAATCACTAAAACATGCGACATTTTTTCCTATGGAGTTTGTCCCAAAAAACATAATAAAATAAAATTTAATCCTGGATAAGGCAAATTTTTCACCGAATGTCAAAGTCCTGCTGGTGATAGTCCAAGTCCACATAGCATTATGATTATAATTGCACAACTTCCGAGTCCAGATAGCATTATGATTATAAAGGCTCTAGAGTTGCACCCAGATAAGAGGCCACATGATCCCCATACTCATGCTAACTTCCAAAGTCTCAAGTTATCCTATGAGATGCTTGAGGATGACAAGGCCAGGAAAATGTTTGATGATTTACTGAGATAAGAGAGAGCAGCAGCACCGCAGCCGCCGCCGCCATTTGGAACGTGATGCCAAGCGACAGGACATGGTCTCTGAGCAAGAGAACGGGAACCAGCCAAAGAGATGAAGAGGAGAGAATTGCTAGGAAGCTTAAAGAAGAGATTGCGAGAATACACGCCAGTGGTCGGCTAGTACTGCTCCTGTTCGGAAAACAAAAAGTGGCAGCGAAGTTTGGGAAGGAGAGTGGGTGGGGCTAAAATTGATCGACTTTATAATTTGGTTGGGGCTGGCTTTCAAAATTTTGAGGACGCTGTTTTGAATAAACTTCAAAATAAAATATTGTAATCATCTAAAGAAAAGTAGCCTTAATAAAGTTTTAATTGTGCTGTAGCTCTTGTAATTTTGTAGTTGGATGATGTCTTGATTAAACCGTTTTAGACTTGTGTTAATTGCAGTGAGAATTATAAACAACTAGTCTGCAAATAACAAAATCCATTGTCATTTACTGTCAAAATTTGTGATCTGCATATGCTGTGACTGGTTAATTTATAACATCGTACTAAATGTAAAAAAAAAGTTACAATGTTATGTAGAGCCTTGAAAAAGAGTATAGACTATTGTGAATATTTCTTCTTTTTGTTGGACTTGGAGTTGGAGCCATGCTCATGTTTACGCCGCTTTTCCCCACTATTATGACTCGATTTCTGTTTTCCTTTCTCCTCCATTTTATTTCTACTTGATTTCACACTAACAACACCGCCAGCTGGTAACTTTACACCACCATTCTGTAATGCATTCTCAAGTTCTGCATCTCTGTCCCCAATCGCATACTGTTGAAGCAACTCAGGATTTAACCCATCCGTGTTGGATCTCATCCCATCCTGTATGTAAGTAGTCAAGTCAGCTCGACTCTTGGATATCAGCACAAGGAAGTGAGAAAGATAGTTTAGGGTAACAGGGAAGGTAAAAGGAACGAAGCATACCTCAACTTTCCTTGCAGCCTCATTGAGATCATCGTCGACAGAGATTTTGTGAGGTTCCAAGACAGTCTGAACCCAAAATTTCCACATGACAGAATTTGATGTTAGAACATAAGCAAAAGATTGAAAAAGGATAAGTGTAAACTTGAGCTCAAGCCTGACTAAATCCTAGTTATGTGGTATATAAAATAACTTTTAATACCTTAAAATATTTTTATAGATAACTTCCCATGCAAACAGCTTTCTAGATTCAAATGCTACAGTGCAGAATCAATGTGATACATCTATAAATTTTTTTTCCTTTTTCAAGGGACAGCTTGAGATGTTGGAACTTTCAAACTCTGGACTATATGATTAAAAAAATGTCTGGAGGAGAAGGTAGTAGGCAAATAAATTCGATAATGTAAACTTAATGATTGCATATCAAACAGTGTAGATGGCATGATGGTTGTATGTGCCTGTGTGAATATCAGAGTTAAGCCTACTAGAACCATAACGTATAATACGCCATGAAATAGGAGATAGAAACTATCAACATAACACGTATTTTCCATACATAAAAAAGTAAACTGCTTTGCTCAACTTACTTCTTTTGGTCTAGGCAAGGTCAACTCAATCTCCTCATATGCAATAGTGTATAGATATTTGTAAAACTTCTTCATAACTTTTATAAACAGAGACAATATTTGCTGCCGATCCAATTTCATCAGCCCCTGTAAAACGTGAATGTAAGTAAAAATGAGACCTGATAGTCCTTTACTTACTAAAACTAGGAGCATTTGGGCCTCAAACTTGGAAACACAAGAAACAAGCTGTGAAACAGTATAGTAAATGCACATACAAAAGACAACTGATTAAAATACATGTTGGAAGCCAATGTGAATAAGAAAGAAGATTCATGGAAGATGTATTTTGATTACTACGGCAGTAAACCCTTCACCATCAGCCACCTCTTTTGTTGTTCTTTAGGGGGGTGGTGGGTACAAATCATCATATTTAAACGGCACATATTTGAGTTTGCATGCATGGTCACAACCACAAGATGAACAAGTAAAGAAACAAACCTCAATATAGGAGATATCTTGATTTTGTAAGCCAATGCAGAGCAATATGGAAGCCTGGGCATATGACAATGTTACTGGAAGTTTCTCTTGGAAATACAGATGTGAAAGGGTTGAAACAAGATCCAAAATCTGTAAAACAAGAAGTATGTTAGACATCTGTATAAACAAACAATTAATTACAGTATAAGAGGTTTCAGTGTTCCAGTTAAATGTGAGTGCCAATGGTGAAATATACTGCATTGGTATATTATTATAATTTCCAAATGGACCACAGGGATTATATTCTAACTTTAGAAAGCAATCCTCAGGTGATTTGAAGAAAGTAGGGCCTATTTGTCATGGATGAAAATACAATAAATCCTCAGATCCCTCCCTCCCTACTATCTATGTCTGTGCTTCCTAGATAGAGGAGGACCATCTTGACACATTCAAAGGAGACTGCTTTTTCCCAAAGTTAAAAAAACAAGAAAGAAGCAAATACTGGGATTTTTCATTGCTTCAGGTGGAAGAAATCTTAAATTCCCATTTTCAGTTCGGTGTTCTATTTTATGGCGTCCCTCTATTTGTTCAGTTGCCCCAAAAAAGGTTTGTTGATGAAACCGAAATTTTGTCCTTCATAACTATTTTATTTCCACAAACTATTTTTACAATTTTTTATAATTTTAAAACTAAAGAAGATGGCAGCCATGGCAGCGCCTCCCTAAGAGTTGCAAAAGAGAGAGGTCCACCTCCCTCAGAGGAGCACCGCACACCCACAAGAAGGTTCACCATTGGTAGGATGGGTTGGGTTTGGGAGGGGGAGTTTGGTTGGGGCAGAAGGGAAAATAAGGTGTCCAAATAGCCTCACCCTTATCGGTTTTGTTGTTTAAACAATTATTTTATCATCTTATATAACACAAGCGCACAGGAACAAAAACCAGCCGCAAAAAATGAGAATTAAAGATCCTCATAAACAGTACATAGCACTACGACAGTGGCCATCAACCATTGTTCAGAGAGCTTACCATATGAAAGTCAGCAAGATTGCTGGTGTAAGCTCCAAGTCGCTTCATATCATAAGGTGATAATATATCCGTGATTGACCTTAAGAACCCATCTACGGTAGGCAACTTGGGTTCTTGCTCTGTGAAATTGATCTTAGGATCTATGATGCTGAAAGATTACGAGTAGTATGAGCACTTGAACAAAAAACATTTATCAGAAGGAAACATGTGATAGTACCTCATAGCGAGCCTATAATCCATTGTATGAAAACTATAACCCAGTAGTCTCAAAAACCTTCGCCTGAAATCTAGGGTTGCCAACAAATTATCAAGCTGTGAGGTGAAGGGATACAAAACCTGCATAAAAGTCCAAGTAGAGAAATAGGTTCTGAGAAAAAATGGGCCCACCTTGGTAGAACGGACGAAAATCATTAACTTCAAGTTCATCATTCTTCAAAGATTTCAGGACCATACATGTATGCTCACCAGTTACAGCACTCTAATCCATTGAAAAGAAAAATGTCAAATTACTGTTTAATCAATCATTCATCAACAAAGTACAATATTGAAAACATTCAATCTGGGGGGAAAAATCCATCTTAACTGGAATATGTCCAATATAGAATGGAACAAATTTATGTTTCCACCAAAAGCGGAAAAGGTCTAAGGTAAGCCCAAAGGAGACACCAATATAATGGAGCTTCTCTGGTCGCCTTTCACGAAGATGAACGAGCAAATGAGGAAGATCTGTTCTAGGTTTTATACTTTCTTCCAGCAATGAAACCTACAAGTAAAATATGACATGTATGATTCCACTAAAAAGTATCAAAGGTAAGTACAGGTGACAGGTTTATTGAACCAAATAAACAAACCATTACGTACAGCCATGGAGTGATTAATGTCATTTTGCTCAAATTTTACATGAGAAGCAATGATTCACAAAAGTTTGTTCAGACTTTTATATTCAAACAACTAAAATTTTCATACCACACAAAACCAAGTTTGACCAAATCAAATATTTTGACAGAACAAGAATTGCATTCAGCACCAAACAGTGACTTAAAAAACTGTCTCCAATATTAGTTTTCTGTAATTCAATAAAAGAGTGTGTTTGTGTGTTGGAGGGTGTGTGGAGGTTGAAAGTTCAAATTTAAAGGGGAAGAAGATAAATTGATGATGAATGAAAGGAACCAAACCCAATAATGACAGCAACTTCAGAGAGTTCTGATTTGTTTGCAAAAATGACAGATTCATATATTTATAAAGGGCTAAAAAAAAAAGAGTCAAATTTAAATTAATAAAATATGGCATGTTGATAAATATATTATTAATTATTACGGTGTAAAATCTTAGCTGTATGAATAACTTCTGAATGGCACACCCTAGCCCACCCACATTGATTATCAGTTAGCAAATTATTGGAGTTCATTTTTGTTACACAATTATAGAACATTATTTTTATATTATTATGGCACACATAGCACACAGCACAAGAGTGCAATGAACACAATGAACATATGACATAGCAATGAGGTACAACCAAGGTGGGAAGTCTGTCTTCTACTCTCCTTAAAAGGAGGTCATCTTCCCAATGGCACTTCAACATTCTAATTTTTAATTATAGAACAGTCTCCACATAACATTTTCCAGCCCGTTGATTAAAAAGAAAAAATAACCAAAGAAAACTAAGCTTAGTGATTATAATAAACCTTCTCGGCAGCTTCTGTGACTCTGACAGGCACCGTCTCAACAACATCTTCAACATCCACTTCAGAAATAGGAGCAAACTGTCCTTCATAGTACCTGAGGCGAAATAACCTTAGTAGATTCACTCAAATTATCTCATAGAGACTTTTATCTCAATAATAAGTACTTATGAGTTCCACTGCTACAACGGCAGTAGAATATCTCCCGCATATCACACCAGAAGTTCTGTGTATCTGTGTCCCCAACAAGAGCAGCAGAATGTCTCCCACATATCACATGAGACATACCAGAGGTATCACTAGAATATTTCCCACATTTCTCGTTTCTTGTACTATTCATAGATGCACAAATGGAAACACTAGAAGGGCTCGTGGTCCAAATTCAACTAAAAGCATGAAATTAACATCCCCCATTGCAACTTGAATGTGCATAAGTATTATCAAACTATAGGGTTTTGTAATTGAACTACTTCCCTCTACATATTCTATCAATTAAAAGTATATTTGATTAAGAGAAGGCAGCA